TATTGCCAAAAGTATTGTGACGCCTACCTTTACATACACAAACTGTAATGGCATCCCAGTCTTAGTCCGTAGGGTTCAAGATTGAGTTGGCCCACACCTTGCCGCTATAACAGCTTCAACTCTTCTGGGAAGGCTGTCCACAAGGTTTAGGAGTGTGTCTATGGGAATGTTTGACCATTCTTCCAGAAGCGCATTTGTGAGGTCAGGTACTGATGTTGGACGAGAAGGCCTGGCTCGCAGTCTCCGCTCTAATTTATTTTCAAAGGTTGAGGTCAGGACTCTGTGCAGGCCAGTCAAGTTTCTCCAACCCAAACGCGCTCATCCATGTCTTTATGGACCTTGCTTTGTGCACTGGTCATGTTGGAACAGGAAGGCGCCATCCCCAAACTGTTCCCACAAAGTCGGGAGCATGAAATTGTCCAAAATGTCTTGGTATGCTGATGCCTTAAGGGTTCCCTTCACTAGAATTAAGGGGCCAAGCCCAACCCCTAAAAAACAACCCCACACTATAATCACCCCTTCCCCAAACTTTACACTTTGCACAATGCAGTCAGGCAAGTACCGTTCTCCTGGCAACCGCCAAGCCCAGACAGGTCCATCGCCATCGGATTGCCAGACAGAGAAGCATGATTCGTAACACCAGAGAACACATCTCCATTTCTCTAAAGTCCAGTGACAGTGTGCTTTGTACCACTGCATCCGACGATTTGCATTGCACTTGGTGGTGTAAGGCTTTGATGTAGCTGCTCGGCCATGAAAACCCATTCCATTAAGCTCTCTACGCACTGTTGTGCCAATCTGAAGGCCACACAAAGTTTGGAGGTCTGCAGCTAATGACTCTGCAGACAGTTGGCGACTTATGCCCACTGTGCGCTTCAGCATGCGCTGACCCCGCTCTCTCATTTTACGTGGCAACCTATCACGGTACCACGCTTGAATTCACTGAGCTCCTGAGAGCAACCCATTATTTCACAAATGTTTGTAGAAACAGTCTGCATGCCTAGGTGCTTGATTTTATACACATGGAGGTGATTGGAACACCTGAATCCAATGAATTAAAAGGGTGTCCCAATACTTTTGGTTATATAGTGTATCTATCTATAAGATGAAGTGAATAACATTGATTATCCCATTACAAAGGTGCCTGAAAATGGGTGGCATATATTAGGCAGCATATGGACATTTTGATTTTGTCCTTGAATATGATATGTTGTAAGCAGAAAAAATGGGCTGGATCTGAGTGACTTTGACAAGGGCCAAATTACGATGGCTAGACAACTGGATCACAAAAACCCCAAGGGGTTATTCACACGGGTGTGCTCCACCATGCAGAGACCCAATCTCGGGAGTGCCCAAGTGTGGGCACGTGGACCTGCACAAGTGTGCAGGTTTGGATCTACATGTAGCCGCATCCTCCCATAGGAAGGTACAGGCTGTTGCACACAATCACAAACAGCACCTGTCCCTCCCGTGATCGGGTCTCTCCGCACAGGTGTGCACGCCTTACGGACGTGCATGCCTGTGTGAATCACCCCCAGAACTGCAGCTCCTGCGGGATGTTCCTGGTCTGTAGTGGTCAGAACCTACCAAAAGTGGTCCAAGAAAGTAAAACTATTAAATAGACAGGGACATGGGTGGCCAATGTTCATTGGTGCACGAGGGGATCGGAGGCTGGCCTGCGTAGTCCGATACAATTGAACAGCTACTGTAGCTCAAATTGCTGAAATAGTTAATGCTGGTTCAGATAGAAAGGTGTCGTAACACACAGTACACCACATGTGTAAGCCGGGGTGCTGCGCTTGGTTATGTGTGATCCACCTATTAATTAGTCTTTAAGTTGTGTGGAAATGTGAAAATATCACAAACTAAATACAGTGCCAGTGATCAAATCCTAATTGCGACTGTATACTGAAAATACAAGTCGAATAAAGGAAGGTAAATGTGTTCGTGAATAAATATTGAATATTATTAACAATGTAAATATCGCAGGATATGTGTAGCATATGTAAATAAATAAATATTGTCGTGTGGAAACAAGTTATATTGTGAATAATAAATGAATAAAATCTGGTTGAAAAATGTGTAAACGGGTGAATAATTCCATCTGGCAATCAAAAATTGGAAAATAAAAATATGAATAAAATGGAATAAAAACTATTTGTATGGCCAGTCAATAGCTACAAGCCAAAGTGCATAAAATTCTTATAAAAACACATCTAAGGTGAATAAAATAGTGTATATAGAGGTGTATGATCGGGGATTATGAACAGCAAGATACTATTTTCCTCCGAGCAGCATTGGAAGTCAAGTGTCTTTTACTTATAGTTCTATTGATGAGTCCGCAGAGGGAAAAATTCTTCAATAGTCTCTCTGCCCTCTCCTGCCGTCAGACTGCACTTCCTCTCATCGGCGGTGTTTGGACAGCCTCCAGTATGGAGTTGATAAAAAAATAAATATTTGTAAATTTTAAATTGATAAAAAAAATTAAGGAACGCACAACTGTAAATAAGCAACTTATGTTAAAAATCGCTTGTGCACCGTGTTGATGTTTGGGTTGTGATAAAATTATACAGGCGTACAATTGCAACACAGCGTATCACAACACACGACAATGCATCACAACACTTTGCCATGCATTGCTACAGTTAAATAAATGCTATTTAAAAAAAAAAAAACAAGCACTGCAATGTGTTTTGGGAGGGCTTTGGGAAAATATCAGGTGTCAATACAGACCCCTGAAATTTCCTTTATGAAATAGAAAAAAAAATTGGAGGACACAAAGTCCTCAATCTCTTTTTCTGCAGCCTCTGTTCTAAATGAATGGAAAACACTCAGTAAGAGGCTTCACATTCATTCAGAAACTGCTGATAGTAAAATATTCACCATCATCAAGTCATAAATGGGTAGAAGCCTCTATAGTAAGTGCTACTACCCATTCAGAAAGTCATGAATGAACAAGAAGTTATTTAAAACACTTCCTGTTCATTCATAACCGGGGACACACAGTGCTATATGTCCCCTGTTGTTTATAAACATTGGAGTGATCAGCTGATCACTCCAGTGTTTGCTCTTCACAGAGGATCGGTAAATATTACACATATTTACTGATCCTCCCACTTGGCACGCACTGTCAGAAAGGCAGAGCCAGAGTTCGAGTGTCGCCGTCTGCGCATGCGCAGGCGCCTGTTGTGGACCATAGAGCCATAATAGGAGCAGCGTCTTTGCATGGATGTGCGCACGTACGTGCGCGTCATGCGCGTGTTTGTGCGCACGTGCAAGCGCTGACGTGTCATTTGAACAATTGGCGCCAACTGGGCTATAAAGGCTGTGTTCAGCTATCCTCCTATGCTGTCAGATCGTCAGCTTCCTGTGTTCCTGTATTTTCTGTATCCTGATTACCCGTTACTGACCCGGCTTGGACTACCCTCTGTTGTTGCTTGCTCCCTGAAGACCCCGGCTTGTTTTTGACCTTGATTCTGCCTCACCCCTTGTACTACGTTGCTAGCTCGTTGATGACCTCAGCCTGCCTGATGATCCTTCTGCCTTGTGTGTTCTGCTTCCAGCTTCCTCAGCTCATCGGATCTAAAGCCTTCTGGATCCTCTTCGGTGCATCCGCATCCTGCTTCCTGCCTGGATCTACACACTTCATCTCATCTCGCAGACGCAACAGGCTAACCAGCCTCTGGCACCCTTGCCCCTCTGAGCCCCGGCGCCCCTGTAACCAATCCAGGTGCTCCGGGACCGGAGCTGTGAGAGAGGCCGCCCTCGTCAACTCAGACTCCCCTAAGGTACGTGACACGCACAATCACAGAGCCGCCAACGATCCTGGATTTGAGAGCCGGTGGCTCTGATCTCCTCACCGCTCGGCAATCCTAAATTTGCGGCTCCTTCCTCCGCCAGCCATTTCTCCTTGGATCTCCGCTGCCTCAGCCCATACAGGCAGGGGAGAGCAGCAGGGGGGAGAAATAGATTCCAGACTGGAGCGGCCCCAGGCGGGGAGGAGAGGCTACAGGTGCTGGCAGGGAGGGGTGCGCCCACAGTGGCGCCCGGCCACTGATGACAGCTATTCATTTAAAGAGGACCGTCAGGGGGAACTGTCCTGATATAATTTCATGGTCGCTAAAGCGACCATTAGCTTATAGCAGAATGGTAAAAGCCATCGACTTATGGCATTCTGACTGACGTGACCAGCTGGAAACAGTGGTGATCCACCGTATACCATACGTTGGTGGCAGCGAAAGGGTTAAAGCATCTGCTACTGACAGCTTACTGGCAGATACCACAGCATACCTTCAGAGGTCTAATGGAGTGCATCACATGTTTTGCCTGAGGAAGGGGATCCTGTGAGACCCCGAAACGTTGCACCTGTGCGATATGCTAAATCTACGTCAATAGACAAATTGATCTGCATTTGGAGTGCCGGTGCAGGTCCCTATTTCTATCTATGTACATAACGGTGGTCATCAGCTGACTACAGCAGCACTGAGCCGATTCTTGTGGAACTAGCAGTCAGGAGTGTGATAGGTTCATAGACTCTAGTGGAGTCAGGGCTGTTTTGGTGGCAAAAGGGGGTGGTCAGAATGTTACGGCTGATAATTGTATGTGTGTATAAACACTGTAGGTATTCACCTACCTTGTAAAGGGGGTTAAGGTGTTGACCACACTTATCAGATGTGCCTTGATGCAGCAGTGTAGCTTCCACATGTATGTGCAAAATGTTTTTTTTAATGCTACCTTAAATGTGTACTGGGGACCACTTTTGTACTATTTGTATGCCCTGCCCATGTGTATCTTTCCCTTTTTAATAGTTCAAACAGATAAGAACAGCTGACAGATTTGCTTTTTTTAGATTTGATACAGACACACCCTGGAAGACTTCAGTGGCCTTGTAAAGTATGAATTGCTTTTTTTTTTTTTGCTGGCTAGCTTGAAAGTATGCTGGGAACCCCTTTTTTTTACTACATATAAATACTTATTTTTAACACACATTGGTTCATTACCTTTAGAATCATATTCACATCGAGAACTACATTTGCCCAGTCTGCAGTGTCCATAGTTGTGTTTTGCAGCTCAGCTTCCTCCTGGTCTACAAAGCATTCAAATATTGTATCCATCTGGGATACCTGTGTTGAAACAAAAATACAGCAATATGTATTACAGTTGGGCTAAAAGTATAAACAAAGTAATAAAGCAAAAACGTCAGAAAACCTGTGTTTTTATTTATGCAAATGATGGTCACCATTGGTTGGCATGCAGTTATCTTCAGTCATTTATAAGCAGGACCACCATCAGGGGGGTATGGCCAGTAATTTTTTTTGGGGGGGGGTTCATTGTTTTATTTTTTTTATTAGTTTATTAACTGACACGTCATCAGAACATGGATACAGTCATGAGTATTCAAAGATAGGTTACAGGTGCAACTACCAAGTCACATGTGGTTACTGTTCTTTACATCCAAGTCCAGTAGAAGCAGTGCATGGATACAAGACTGATCGGGTATCATCAAACAAAACATTTTACATAGATCTAATGTTGGCATCTGGTGTGCTTTTATTAAAGAGAAATTCTGCAGGCGGTACAAATTTGCGTTGTGATAATCGCGATATTTACTAACTCGAGGAACGCAGAATATATTATTTAATGCTATAGTGTAGAGGTCATGCTATGGGAAGTAGTAGCTCAGCCTCATCCAAGGCGAGAGTGCTGGCAGTGAAGGTAGATACGAGCAAGGAAAGAGCAGAGTGAGCTGCAGGAAACAATAGACAGAAGATGGAGGAAAGGTGTAAAGGATGGGTAAGTTCCTGAATCACTGCCTGCGTCCCCGTCCAAAGGAGGTCACACCTCCTCTGGCATCAGAGGAGCTAGGGTCATGTCCGGAGAGGTCCCCTCAGTGTGACTCAGGAAGGCAAATATATGTCCCCCGGGAGTGCGGCCTCAGTTTCAATCTGACACAAGGTCTGCATATTTGGTGGAGTGTTGGAAGTAGATCCAGGATCCCCAGGTTGCCAAGAACCTCCCTTCGGTGTTTCTAAGGAATGCCGTCAAGTCCTCCAGGACATACACCTCCCGAACCTTAGAGAGCCATAACGAGATGGTGGGCGGGTTGGTCTGTTTCCACAACAGGGGAATAGTGGCTCTAGCAGCGTCCAATAGGTGGCGTGTGAGTGAGTGTTGGTATTTTGAGAGAGGGGCGGCTGACATGTGTAGCAGACATGCCGCCGGCTTGTCTCTGAGATCCGTCATGGCCAGGTCCTGGATGACAGATACCACCTGGTCCCAGAAGGGTTTCAGGTCTGGACAGAACCAGAAGGTATGCAGCATCGTGCCAGAGTCAGAACCACATCTCCAACACTGGGCAGGAATGGCGGGATTCATTTTGTGCAAAAGCCAAGGCACTCTATACCATCGGGATAGAATTTTGTAACCGATTTCCTGGACTTTGCTGGCCATGGCTAATTTGTAGGACATAGTGAGTATGGAACGAGTCTGTTGTTCAGTAAAAGCGAGTCCTAGTTCACGTTCCCACTGCTGCAAGAACGATGGGCAGACGGTGGATGCGGGTGTGCTGATCAGTTTGTAGATAATGGATATGGCATGTCGTGTGGGTTCAGTCCCCTTACACATCTTCTCGTAGTCCGTAAGGGGTCTATCTAGTGCTTGGGGATTTGGAATAGCTCTCAGGAAGTGACGGAGCTGCATAACACTCCATGCGTCTAGTGGGGGGTCGGAAAAGGACCGCATGGCTGGGCCCGATATCCAGTCGGAGTTTGTTCGAAAGTCAAGTAATCTGTACTTGTCCGCTGTCACAAGTCTGGAGAACCGTGCAGTGTCCGCCCACGGCGCAAAGTCGGGGTCTCCTATCACAAACGTCAGTGGCGAGGGGGCTGGAGCCAGTGTGGAGTGCTTGAGCTGGCAAGTCGGATTGTGGTAGAGATCAAAGGGTGGTCCCGAACCGACAGCGGTATGGGGGACGAGATTCAGGGGAGCCCTTCCAGTGGGTACTGACATGAAGCTCTATCTAGGGATGCCCAGAGCTTGTCATCCCGGTGAACGTGCCAATCTAAGACCCTATTCAGGTGAGCAGCTCTGTGATATCATTGGAAGTCCGGCAGGCCCCCCCCCCTCTATCGCAGGAGAGAGTCCGCGTTTTCCTGCTAATCCTCGGATGTTTGTACGCCCAGACAAAGCTCACCACTGCCCTATGGAGTCGTTGAAAAAAGTTTGAGGGAATATATATCGGTAATGCCTGGAACAGATATTGAACCCTAGGCAAGATATTCATTTTAACTGCCGTGCATCTTCCAAACCAGAAAATGGTGTGGGCAGACCAAACCCGCAAGTCTTTGAGTATCTCTGGCGCAAAGTTGGTTGCATAGATGTCTCGGAGATCAGCTGTGATGCGAGTCCCCAGATATTTGAGGCTGTCCATGGCCCAAGTAAAAGGAAAATCTGTTCGTAAGCGGGAGAGAGTAACGTTCACTTTAAAGTCTGATAGTCGGCCATATGCAGCGAGGGCAGATAACAGGTGAGGTGTGGACGCCAGGGGGTCAGTGAGGAAGAAAATCAGATCGTCCGCATATGCTGCAACCTTCTGTTCCCCTGGGGTGGAGCTGAGTCCCTGAATATCTGTTGATGCCCTAATAGTGCCCAGAAAGGGCTCCAGGGAAAGGGCAAAAATCAGGGGTGAAAGTGGACACCCCTGCAGGGTGCCAATGGATAGGGGGAAGTCTGTCGATTTCCTCTTGCTTACCCTGACCGCGGCGAGGAATAAAGTGCAGAGATCCATTTGAGCATGTTAGCCCCCAAGCCTATGTGTCGTAGAACCGTCTGCATGAATCCCCAGCTGACCCGGTCGAAGTCTTTTTCGGCGTCCGTGGAGAGCAGGAGAAGAGGTCGTTGATTGGTTTTGGCCAGGTGTATGATGTGCAGGACCCGAGTGGTGTTGTCCCGTGCCTCCCTAGATGGAATAAAACCCACCTGGTCCGGGTGGCCGAGGGAGGGCATGAACGGGAGTAATCTGTTGGCAATGATTTTTGCACATAATTTAAGGTCTACATTTAGGAGCGCAATCGGTCTGTAGTTACTACACTGAGTCGGGTCCGTGCCTTCCTTTGGTATTAGTGTGATCCATGCTCGAAGAATGTCACGGGGCATGGAATAGTCTTGTAGTATAGAGTTATAGGCCGAAAGAAAATTGGTAGAGAGCTGGGGGATAAATAATTTGTAGTACGCTACCGTGAGGGCATCTGGGCCTGGAGCTTTGCCCGCCCCAGTTGACCTCAGAGCCGACTCTAGCTCTGCTAAAGTAATAACAAATTCCAGTGCCGCACTGTACGACTTCGGTATAGAGGGCATCTTAGATTTGGTAATTTATTCCCATGCTTCAGAAGCAGCAGGTGACCTGC